AGGTTTGGTGTTCACGTGGAACTTGTCGATCCATACAGAAGGAGCTATGAGAACACAAAAACGCCTGCAATGGTTTATATATTCGGGAATCTAAGGTGGCTAAACATCTGATTACTAAGGATATCAGATAGAATGGCCTCAAACCAAAAGTTTTGCCGGATATGGGGACTTCACAACTAAGCGGAAGATCAGGGAGTCTATTGAAATTAGCATAACAAAAAATAATCAGAATAAGAGGAATTGGCGTAGGAAACTAAGAAATAATTATCTCTGGTTGCTAAATAAAATTAGAAATGGAGAGGTATAGAAGAAAAGGGAACAAGAACAGCAATCGAGTAAAAGAAGACTTGACAAATTTTGAATTTGATTTGGGACCCAAACTCGCTAATTACTTCATGAGTGTTGCATACATACAGTGTGCACACATGCACGAAGCTAAAACAACCCCAGGATTACAGGATCATACGTTAGTTTATTTACATAAAGAAAATTTGTTACCATATCCGCTCCCCTTCCCGCATCACTTTTACCTACATACATGCATATAGGACAAGCATAAAACAGCCAACCAAATCATGGAATACCTCATTAAGATCGTAAGATGAGGTGTAAGAAGTAAGTAGAATCTCAGGCGGACATCTTTCTTGGTTTAATGGTTTTTTGGTGATTGTTTGTGAATAATGGTTTTTGGCTCTCAAGATGTCCGACTCGTGACGAAGGAAGGCTCAGCACAGAACCATCGGCGTCGCAGGATGGTGAGCAGAGGTCTTTTTTGCACAATTCAACAGTAAAAAGTCCAAGGCAACCCTCCTTCGGTATCCGGTGAGGCTAATTTACGAACCCCTTCCACCCGCCTTCTCAAACAAAATGAAAGATATGCCAGTATTAATCTAATAAGGGAGTCTTCGAAACCCAGCTTCTCTTCATATTGAAAACGGATTCATTGGAGATGGAAGATGTAACAAGGACTGCCATTGAACGCATTGCAAAAGGCTACCCAAGGACATTTATCAATTATCCCGAGACTAAATGCTTGGAAAAATTTAAATTGCAGTTTGATAAGGAATTCAACAGGACAAGAATTACTATAATCCTATTTTAATAAAACCCAAAATAAGTATGCCTTTGTAAAAAATATCTTCACAAAAGTTTGGTTGAAAGATACCTGTATTATCATGGGAGTTATATTCGCCCATCATATAATGACACTTGGACCTGGTGGCCTGGAAGTGAAAAGTTTTCTTCTGAAATTGCAAACCCCAGGCTCGAATTCAGCTCCGATGCTAAACCAACATCAAAGACATCAAAACCTCAATCTAGTCAGGATAAAAGTACATTTTAATGAAACAAGGCGGCTTCAGCATGTAATGCTAATTAAAACCTTATCTATGCTATATTTTAGAGTAGTTTAACCATTAGGGCCAAACGAATACCATTATATTGTCAGTACTTTAGGTTCTTCCCTGAGAGAGATGTGTGGATGCATAGACTCCATCAACTAGTTACTTTTTCCTTCCAGCAGAGTGGTTTCAATCCACATACGACTGCTCTTTAGCTTTTGCATGATTTTGTGTGCATTGCGGTTGTAACCAGGCTATTCATGCAAATAAGATGATGCAACTCAGGATCGCCCTGTTGAAAAACGATGATACTACAAAGCCAGCAGAGAGATAGATATTCAATCTTGGTGGAGTGGTTTTAGAGCCCGATACCACAAAACACAAATCTAAAGTCAAAATCATCAATTATTTTAATGGCAAAGTACTTGTTCTCGTATGCTTTGTTTGCAAATTCAATGATTTATTGATATTAATAGATGAAGTTGCTAATATTGCAATGACATTCTAGGGTTATGCTTATATTTTCGATCATATTATTGTAGGCCAAGCAGAGAATAATTGCCTCTACAGAAATATAGAAAGTAGGAGGTATTGTCAC